TAGCATAAAATAACCCAGGGCATTAAATAGCCTAGCATAAAATAACCCAGGGCATTAATAGCCTATAAAATAGGGGCATTAAATAGCCTAGCATAAAAATAATAACCCAGGGCAATTAAATAGCCTGCATAAAATAATAACCCAGGCATTAAATAGCCTAGCATAAATAACCCAGGGCATTAAAATAGCCTAGCATAAAATAAAAGGGCATTAAATAGCCTAGCATAAAATAACCCAGGCATTAATAGCCTAGCATAAAAATAATAACCCAGGGCATTAAATAGCCTAGCATAAAATAACAGGGCATTAAATAGCCTAGCATAAAATACCCAGGATTAAATAGCCTAGCATAAAATAACCAGGGCATTAAATAGCCTAGCATAAAAATAACCCAGGGCATTAAATAGCCTAGCATAAAATAACCCAGGGCATTAAATAGCTAGCATAAAAATATTAAATAGCCTAGCATAAAATAACCAGGGCATTAAATAGCCTAGCATAAAATAATAACCCAGGGCATTAAATAGCCTAGCATAAAATAATAACCCAGGGCATTAAATAGCCTAGCATAAAATAATAACCCAGGGCATTAAATAGCCTAGCATAAAATAACCCAGGGCATTAAATAGCCTAGCATAAAATAACCAGGGCATTAAATAGCCTAGCATAAAATAACCCAGGGCATTAAAATAGCCTAGCATAAAATAATAACCAGGGCATTAAATAGCCCCCAGGGCATAAATAGCCTAGCATAAAATAACCAGGGCATTAAATATAGCATAAAATAATACCCAGGGCATTAAATAGCCTAGCATAAATAATAACCCAGGGCATTAAATAGCCTAGCATAAAATAATAACCCAGGGCATTAAATAGCCTAGCATAAAATAATAACCCAGGGCATTAAATAGCCTAGCATAAAATAATAACCCAGGGCATTAAATAGCCTAGCATAAAATAACCCAGGGGGCATTAAATAGCCTAGCATAAAATAATAACCAGGGCATTAAATAGCCTAGCATAAAATAATAACCAGGGCATTAAATAGCCTAGCATAAAATAAATAACCCCAGGCATTAAATAGCCTAGCATTAAAATAACCCAGGGCATAAATAGCCTAGCATAAAAATAACCCAGGGCATTAAATAGCCTAGCATAAAATAATAACCCAGGGCATTAAATAGCCTAGCATAAAATAACCCAGGGCATTAAATAGCCCCAGGGCATTAAATAGCATAAAATAACCCAGGGCATTAAATAGCCTAGCATAAAATAATAACCAGGGCATTAAATAGCCTAGCATAAAATAATAACCCAGGGCATTATAGCCTAGCATAAAATAACCCAGGGCATTAAATAGCCTAGCATAAAATAACCCAGGGCATTAAATAGCTAGCATAAAATAATAACCCAGGGCATTAAAATAGCCTAGCATAAAATAACCCAGGGCATTAAATAGCCTAGCATAAAATAACCCAGGGCATTAAATAGCCTAGCATAAAATAACCCAGGGCATTAAATAGCCTAGCATAAAATAACCTGCGTAAAATAACCCCGGGTATATTCTGGGCGAGGGTATAGTCAGGGCTGTTACACCGGCATGCATCAGGAATCATGCTTTCCTTGAACAATATTTTCAAGGTTGTAAATAATAGCGTGAGATCGCCATGGTAGTGTTACTGTTTCCATTGCTTTGGGTTGAAATAGAAATAGTGGTTAGATTTGCTCAAGTCAATTTCCAGTTAGAAAATAGCGATATATATATATATATATATATATATATATATATATATATATATATATATATATATATATATAGAGAGAGAGAGAGAGAGAGAGAGAGAGAGAGAGAGAGAGAGAGAGAGAGAGAGAGAGAGAGAATCCAAGCCAACTATCTTATCTGAAAGTATGGAGAATGTGAACTATTTTTTTCCTATTGTTTTTTCTCTCTTTTTTGGTTTTGGATTCAATTGCACATTCACCGTTCATGTATGAACAGAATATGTTATTTTTTATTATATAATATTGAACCCACTTTGGGTCTCCTTTTCTCCCCCCTGCACAGAGATCCCAGAACTTTTATTGTTGATTATTGATGATGGACATGTAAGGGTGCAATCAAGTGCAATCAGTTTGGACCCTTATGCAGGTTGGAGCTAGGGCCCGAATTCTAATTGCCAGAAATGGTGTCGCAAGCAACTTCAGGTGGCGCTACTGTCAACCTACATGGGGGGCCCAAGATATTTTTCACTTTATGTTGTAGTACTCTGATAGTAGTAACTAGTTCAAATAAGAAAAGCTTGGGATATCAGTGTTGGTTGAAGATGAGAGCATCGAAAAGTGGTACATTCCATAAGGGGTCCAAAAAGGGGCGTGGCCTGCTCGGCCCAGGAGGGGTCAATCGTCGATGTCATCACCATTTTTTCTTGTCCCAAAGCTAAGCTCAATAATCCAGAAGTTTCAGGGAATTTGGAGATGGTGAGTAATCACCCATGGGCTGATCTTAGAAAAAGTTACTCTCAAAAAAGAGTAACCACAATGGAAATAAAGATTGTATAATTTGAAGTGAAGTTGCATAAAAATCTATTCGTTTAGTAATTGTTGCCTTTTAAAATTCCTCATTCTATACATTAAAAAGTCGTCTGCTAGAACCAATTTTGAAATAGAACCAGTGACGTCATAAGTTGTATTCCTCTGGCTCGTGACCATGAGACGGTACTTGCTGAGCGTGGATTCTGCGTCAGAAAAACCGTATTGTGTCCCGAAAAGCGACGAAAGGAAGAACCACCGCATGTAACCTCCATTGCCCCAATCCAAATCAGCCGTCGTTTTTTATCTATCAATATACAGTGTAAATTAAACTTGAATTTAATGTCAGTTTTAAAAATTCAACCTGCGATTTTGTGTACATTTGTACATACACCCACGTACACATATATCAGAAGGAGGAAGAAAAGGAAGAGGAGGTGGGGGGGGGCGGAAGTTGAAGAAGAAAAGGAAGAAAAAATAGAATAGATAAAAAGGGAAGGAGGAGTAAAAGGAAGAAGGAGGGGGAGAAGAGAAAGATTTTTATGAAGAAAAGATAGAAAAATAAGGAAGGGGAAGGAGAAGGGGGAAAAGAAGAATTAGAGGGAAAATGAGGAAGAGGAAGGGGAAGGAGGAGAATAAGAATTAGAGGAAGAAAGAAGAGGAGGTGGGTGGGGAGCAGGAGGATAAGGAGAATAATAATAATTAGAAGAAGAAGAAAAAAGTGGAGGAGGAAATGGGAAAGGAAAAAGGAGGAGAAAAAGAAGAAATAGAGACAGAAGGGAAAGGAGGATCGGGAAGGATGGAGAAGAGGGAGAGACGAGGAAGACTACCCTAACATAAGATGAAGACCGCAACGTGGGAAGCTCGCCGTGTGTTTAGGGACGTTTCTAAGTGCCTCTCTGAAGTACCACTCACTTTTTTACGAGGCCTCTGAAAAGGAAGACAAGATGTTAGTTGACTTTTTATAAAAATTCTTTTTATTTTGGTCTTTAATGCACTTATTTTTTGCGTTTCTGTTTGATTTTGGTCTATTTGATGTTATATACTATGGATTATATTTTATTTTTCTGTTTGGAATGTTTTTATTTTTTTATTATTATCATGTTTTGCCACTCGAGGGTTATTCTGATGAATGCTTGTTGTTTGTTGTCCTGCTGTGGTTGGATTTTTTATCATTTTAGTATCAGGGTCACATTAAAGAAATCTCTCTCTCTCTCTGAGTATATGTGTATGTGTATCTGTCTATCTCTGTCCCTCTATCTGTCTCTCTCTCTCTATCTCTGTTTCTATTTCTGCCATACTGCATAGTGCATAGTCCTGCAAGCTCGCAGCCCACGTGTGTTCATACCGCGTGGTCCGCTACAGTCACCACGTGGCCGTGTTCGCAGCACGCGAGGATAGCCCACGTGTGTACCCACGCTCGCTGTCTGCCTGCGCCGGGGCGTCCCCCAGGCTTATAAGAGGTCAGAACTTGACCTCCCCGCTCACACCTTCGGCGACCCTTCCCGTGACCCAGCAGGACGCACACCCAGGCGCGGGGGCTGTTCCGCTCCTCACTCAGCGCCACCATTCAATCATCCTTATAGAAGGGTTTTCTCGCCTTTTATACTCTCTCTCTCTTATTCTCTCGCTCCTTCCCCCTCTTTCTCTTTTTCTGTACGTATGTGTCTTACACTAATGTTCTGGGACAGCTTTTGCCTTTGAGGTAGCACAAGAATATTGTTGCATATTCTTGCGTATTTTGAAAGCCGGTGACCGAATAAACTAGCCTACTGTTCAGTGAATTTCATTTGATTACTAATAGAATTATTGATTTTTTTCTTATGGACATTTCCTGAATCAATGGCATGAATATAATGAATAAGGAGCTGGTGAGAAACCACAATACTCTTTTAAAGTGTACAATGTACAGTTTAAGTTTCATCCATAAGTTATAAATTTTTTGTATTCTCACATGGAACATTTTCGCCAAAAAAATCTACAGCGGCAATATTATTTTCTTTCTTTCTTTTTTAAGCATTAATGCCTGTTTTATTTGCATGAAACGACCGTAGTTTCTCTGTAAAGTCTTCTTTGAGAAATCAGTCAGCCTTATAATATCTTTCTAACCAGTGATTACATGAGTATTTAAAGTATCTCATTCAAACTGTTATAACCACCATGAATATTACTCAGTTATTGTCATTAAAACCTAATAACATTCTCGCTTCTGTGACACTGACTCATAGAAGCCACTTTAGTCTGACTCTTGATATTTTCAGAACATTCACCAGTGTCTAAGTGGTTCTGCCGACAGCGATTGGTTCTACAAGGGCCACTTTGTCTGCTCAATCTGAATGCTTCTTTGAAATAAAAGTTTTTATTTCTTTTATTTATTTATTTATTACTTTTTCAGTCAAATAGATTTTCCATATGTAATGAGATCTCAGTGAATTTTATTTTTTCTAACTCAGACTTAAGTGGTTCTGAAATACTGTAAACGATTCCCTAAAGAAGGAAAAAAGTTATCTCAAAGTCAAGTGGTTCCAACAAGAAAAAAGGTGGTTCTCTCAAAATTCCAGTGGTTCAGACTCAAACCATCCTCTAGAAAATAAGTGGTTCTCTCGGAATCAAGTGGTTCTCCAAGGATCTGGTTCTACGGGCAAGATGGGGAGCAAATTCGACGAACTGTTGATACGCCTTGGGACCGGAAAGTGGAACTTTTTGTATTTCATCGCAGCTTCTGTCTGTAAGTGGACTATCGGGTTCGTTTTGTAAGTGGATTATCAGGTTCATATCAAAAGTGGACTATCAGGTTCATATCATAAGTGGACTCCCCTGTTTATTCTATAAGTGGACTATCAGGTTCATAAGTGGACTCCCCGGTTAATTTTGTAAATTGACTGTCAGGTTCATTTTGTAAGTGGAATATCAGATTCATATTGTAAGTAGACTATTAGCTTCATATCATTAGTGTAATGCCAGGTTCACTTTGTAAGTGAACTTTCTGGTTCATTTTGTAAGTGAAATATCAAGTTCATTTTGTAAGTGACCGAGATCCTCTTTTAAGTGGACTATCATTTTAATATCGTAACTGGACCATGAAGTTCACAAAGTGGATTTTCAAGTTGATATTACAGTGTTGTAAGTGGACTATCGAGTATAGTCTACTTACACTGCGTGTCATTTTTTTGCCCTTCACTTTAGATTGGAAAATATAATCGTAACTGAAAAATGAAATAATTAATGTACTTTATTTTCATGTATTTTGTGAATATGTTTATTAATCTTGTGTTCAACAAGGAAAAGCCCTTTTATAGAGAAACGCACATGCACAAGGAGCTACTCAATCAAGCACGTAGACACACACACACACAACCCTCTCCCCTCCCACAACCCTACCCAAAGACTCCCTCCCTCCCTCTCCCCCTCCCACAACCCTACCCAAAGACTCCTCCCTCCCTCACTCCCACATCCCTACCCAAAGCCTCCCTCCCTCCTCCCCCTCCCACACCCCTACCCAAAGCCTCTCCCTCCCCTCCCCTCCTACATCCCTACCTTAAGCCTCCCCCCTCCCCTCCCTCCCAACAGCACCCGCACCGAATAACCCCACATGCCCCCTTTCCTCCCCAGGGTTCTTCCTAATCCCCCCACAGAGCTTGAGCGGCGCTTACCTCGCTCCCACAATCCCCCACACGTGTCGACCTCCTCAAGATGTCAACGCTACCATCTCCGAGTGAGTTCTGCTTTGGGTTCCGTCGGGGAATGGGAAAGGCAAGGTCAGTAGCAACTCGAGGTGTCATGGCGCCTGATTCTATTTTTGGAAAAAAAGCACATGGGGTTTATTTTAATGACGTCACAAGAGTTACGGATGCTTTGGTCAATCATTTTGGTATCTTCATTTTTCAAAAAGGATGGATAATAAGGATTTTAATGGTTATATTTCCAATGAACAATCATAAAAACAGACGCCATGACACCTCGAGTTGCTACTGATCGAGCCTTTCCCGTCGGGGAATGAGGAATACTTTCGTGCTCTGTAGAAGTACACCCGATCGTTGGAACGGTTTTAGAGCGCTACGGGTCAGGTTCATTGTGGAAGTTCAGATTTTCAATACCATTCAGATCTATAGTTCAATTTCAGAATACCATTCAATCATATGGTTCAGTTTTACAATATCACTCAAGTATAATAGTTCACTTTCACAATATTATTTAGTTTTATAGTTTCATTCTACACTATCATTTTCCTCTCACCGCAGACTGAGTCTTCACTTGAATATTGAACCTTTTAAGTTGATTATTTATTTTCTGTCATATAGTTTTGTACTGATGTGCTTTGGTGCAATATCGGCAATTTTTCGACCAATCACAAACGTGGCCGATGTAAGACTGCTCTTGATTGGTCCTCCTCTCAGCCAATAACCGCCATTGAAGGACAAATAACAGTCTCTGACTGGCTAAGGTAAAACCAGCATTTAAAAAGCTTACCATTATTCAAAAACTAATTATCACGCTCAGGGATAACAGTGCAAAGAAAAGATGGCGACAACACAACTGATAATCATTATGAAAATAAAAATGATGATAAAACTGATGTGGCAAAATGTAATAAAGAACTTCTAAACAAATGGTAATCATATGACCTAATTCACTAAGAGGAACACAACAGTGACGTAATGGTGACGCAAAGATTTGATGATGTAATCTCACAAGTAGATATCAGAACACGATCTTGAGCTTATTGGTGACGTCACAACCTTTATGAATATCTCGCCATCGACAAAACTTTTAATCTCACAACTTCTCACCCAAAATCAATTCATTCATTCACTTCACATTTATCCATTTCCTCATCTGTTACTCTATTCACTCACCTACTCGTTTCTTTATCCATGATTACACCCACCCTATTCATCAACCTATCAACATATGCTATCTATTCATCTACGATTCTCTGTCAATCTATCCGCACAGAGATTCGTGTACATACATCACCAACACCACAGCGGGGAGCGAGGTCTACCCATGCACAGAATGGGACTTCGATTTAACGGTCTTCTCGTCTACACTGACGTCAGAGGTAAGGAAGAAAGAGAGGGAGAGGGATAGGGGTAGAGGGAGGAGGGAGGAGGAAGGGAGGAAGGGGAAGTAGGGAGAGGGAGGGAGGTAGGGAGAGGAGGGGGAAGGGAGAGGAAGGGGAAGTAGGGAGAGGGAGGGAGGTAGGGAGAGGGAGGGAGGTAGGGAGAGGGGGAGGTAGGGAGAGGGAGGGAGGTAGGAGAGGGAGGGAGGTAGGGAGGGAGGGAGGGAGGGAGGTAGGGAGAGGGAGAGAGATAGGGAAAGAGAGAGATAGGGAGAAAGAGGTATAGGGATAAGGAGAGGGAGATATAAGGAGGGAGGGAGGCAGATAGAGAGAGGGATTGGAAGAGGGAGAGGGAGAGAAGAGAGAGAAGAGAGAGAAGAGAGAGAGAGAGAAGAGAGAGAGAGAGAGAGAGAAGAGAGAGAGAGAGAGAGAAGAGAGAGAGAGAGAGAGAGAGAGAGAGAGAGAGAGAGAGAGAGAGAGAGAGAGAGAGAGAAGAGAGAAGAGGGAGAGAGAGAGAGAGAGAGAGAGAGAGAGAGAGAGAGAGAGAGAGAGAGAGAGAGAGAGAGAGAGAGAGAGAGAGAGAGAGAGAGAGAGAGAGAGAGAGAGAGAGAGAGAAGAGAGAGAGAGAGAGAGAGAGAGAGAGAGAGAGAGAGAGAGAGAGAGAGAGAGAGAGAGAGAGAGAGATTGAGAGATTGACAAAATGCTTCCAAAAATGATTTACGACCAAGAAAATGAATGAATATATGAATAAAAAGATTGTAAAATTACTACAACTACAACAACTGATGCTTTAACCGTGGTACCAATTCCCCCAACCTCACCCTCTTTTTTATTGAACTTAACACTGTGAAAGAACAAAATTAATGTTCCTTTTGCAGCCAAATCTTTTTTTCCTGGTTAATAATAGTTTGAATTGAACAGAGTAGACCAAATACAATACGTAATTCTTGATATCATTACAATCTACAACTGACTGGAAAGTTTAGGTTGTGTCCACACCAGTGGCAAAACACGGTGGGAACATAAACACGGACAAGTTGGGTAACAAGTTGTTAAGTCCTTAAGGAACATTGTAGTAGACGTTGGTAAGGATTCGTTGGGAAACATGTTAACAATTCTTGTGTGGACGAGGTGTTGTCAGTGCCCTCCAACCAAGCAACAGACCAACGAGGTGTGGACAGTTTCACCAAGTCGACTCTTCTTGCCATGTCTCTCAGCATCGTAACAGATATGTTCCCATACATATCAGGCGATTTGTCTCCAAATGTCTCCTGTTGTCCCCCACAATGTTTCCAATTTGTCCTCAAGCCTCGTGGTCCTGGCGCGGACGCAGCCTTAGTCTAACACTTGGTCTCCAGTCGGGCTTTGTAGCAAGATGATGGCATGAAAAATAGAACTACTACCTCTGCTATTACTATTACGGCAACTACAACTACTACCACAAATAAAATGGCTATTACCGATACTACTACTATAATAACAACTACAACTACCACGACTACTACCAATGATACTACTATACAGTAACAACTACTACAACCATTTTAACCTTAAAGGGCGTATGTGAAGTAACAACTGAAAATTTTAAAAAGGGAGAATTAACTCGCAAACAACTCTCTAATATGAGTAAAAAAGGAAATCAGAAAATAATTTCCCAAAATTGATTTATTTCGATTTTCCGAAGTCAAGTCACATTTTTCCGCGAAAATCCGGAACCCGGATGTGTGACGTCAATTCCAGAACTCGATCACCGCATTCTCTGCATTCAATACATTGTACATGGCGGACTCACAAGACTACAGCAGCAGTGAAGTTTAATTGGATTATTCTGATGAGGACATTGGTATAAGTTCTTCAGAGGGTGCCTACGTCTTCGAAGAGTTGGAAGAAGAGGAATATCAAGGGTTGATGGTTGTTGGACCGTACATGCACGAGCCCGACGCTGTGGATGTCGTGGAAGTTGTGCCAAACCAGCCAGACATGGAGTGGCGTCGAGACCCGAAGAGACTGAATGAATGGTAATTTTCTAAATTATTTTTTATAGTCGAACGTGTGATCCCGCTTCTGTATGGTACACAATTTCTGCAGGCTGAGCTATCTCTTGTCTGCACCGGTGGCGCAGGCCTACATCCATTCACGAGTGGAGGGGCATCGGTATTTGTTTGTGTTGTGCTTTTTGAGGTGTACCTACCTTACCTCTGTGTAGTAATACACGCTTGCAATGCACTCGGCACATTGTGTCGTACCTACGCAATGAATGTTTGCTACGCCGCCAAGCAAAAGCGTTCTTTCAGAGTTTGTTTTGCGCTGTTGTGATCATGACAAATATAAATTGGAAATGGCCTACCGTTTTGCAAATCCCATGTAAGCCATTCTGTTTACAAAGCAATCGTGCTCGAAGTGTTTCAGGAAAAGTACGCTGGTTGGCACAGGCTGAAAATTGCTCCGCTTGGCATGTACAACGTGTCCACTTCCTTGCTATGTCGCGATAATTACTTCACATATTCCCTTTAAGCTAATAGATGTAGCCTTTGATTCAAAACTTACATTTGAATTGCATATTAGGAATATGGCCCGGGTAATTTCATCTGAGTTAAGCATCATTCGCAAGTGCAAGAGGATCTATGAAGATGACATTACTCGCACATGCTTTGCTTTTACTCTGCCTCATTTTCAGTATTGTTCTCCTTTGTGGTAATCTGCTGCCGAGTCATGATTAAGACTACTTGATCGTTCTTTTAATTCCATTAAATTTCTCCTGTCTTACTAAAAACTGAACATTGGGCATCGTAGGCTCACTGGGGCTCTTTCAGTATTATACAAGATTGTAACCGATAATTCACATCCCTCTATAAGTTTTTACCTAATGTTTATCAACCTGCAAGAGTTCCCAGGAGTTCTATGACCCTCAGTTCAGTGACATTTGATGTAAGTCGATCGTCTAGATGCTTTTTTACTGTCATTTGTATTCTTTGGAATATATTTCCCTCATAGATTGTAACTTCTCCGACTCTTGATAAGTGTAAAAGATCAGCAAACCTATTTGTCTTGCGTAAATAGCATACTCTATCTTCTTATTTTTTTCTTAGCTGTATCTTGACCTCTACTGACGTCTTTGGTGGTATAATTCTATTTTTTTCAGTGTGGCTCTTGATATAGGTTACAGCAACAATAATAATAATGATAATAATAATACTAATACTATTGATAATGATAATACTATTAATGATAATGATAATAATAATGATAATGGTAATAATAATACTCCTAACCATACCACCAGGAATTACTAAGCGACGCTATTATGTAGTTTCAGCTCGTTTGTGATCGCGACTACTTACGAGCCACTTATCAGAGTATGATGATGTTCGGTACCTTTATCAGCCCTATTGTCGGTGGGTTTCTGGCAGACAGGTAAGTGATACTGGTAAGTTTTATCGTTCATGCTGATATTGTTGATATATTTTGAATTTGATTATTATCATTATTAGTAGTATTACTATTATTGTTATTCATTTATTGTTTTTAGAGTAATGTGTTTTTTTTCCGTATTGTCTTTTCTCATTTTCGTTTTTCTTCTTTCCCTCCCTCCCTACCTCCTCCTCTCTCTCACCTCACCCTCCTTCACCTTCTTCCTCTTTTCCCCTCTCTTACCTCCCCCCATCCTTCTCCTTTTCATCCTTTTCCCTCTCCCTCTCACCTCACCCTCCTTTTTCTTCTCATTCCACCTCCTCTCTATCTCTTCCTCCTGTCCCTCCCCTATCCCTCCTTCCCTCATTCCACCTCACCTCTTCCTCTTCCTTCCACCCCTCTCTCTCCTTCCTTTCTCCCTCCTTCTTTCTCTCCTTCCCTCCCTCCCTCCTTCTCCCTCTCCTTCCCTCCCTCCCTCCGCTTCCTCAGACTCGGTCGTCGTCTCGTGATAATCGTGACCCTGTCTCTCTTCACCTTATTCTCCTCCTCCATTTCTTTCCTCTCCAACTTCAACCTCATCTTGGCTTTCCGTTTCGTGCTGGGCTGCGTCAACCTCCCAACCTTCTACATTCTGGGTGAGTTTTGGATTTTTTTTTTTTTTTTTTTTTTTTGGGGGGGGGGGCTTGTTATTCTTATCGTTGTCATTGTTGTTGTCGTTTTGATTTTGTTATCAGTATTGTTATTATTGTTGTTATCACTATCATTATTGTTATTATAATCATTAATATTATCATTATAATCATCATCAATGTTATTATTATCATTTATGTCGGCGATGGTTCAAAATTTTCAACATTTTCACAATAGTACAAAACGCACGCTAGGAGGGGGAGGGAGACTTAAAAAAAAAGCTCGCTGGCTTTTTAAATTCTATGAAAATAGAATCGTGTCTATCATCAACATTTTCATGTAAACGCTTTTCGGGGATCAGCAAAAAGAGTGCTCTTTGTACGCTTGTGATGTTGTAAATGTTAAACAACCCCTTAATACTTTAAGGGGTCAGACTAACCAAAAATTTCACTGGAATCCAGTGATAATGGTGACTGTTATAACGGTATGCTGGAACCAACCGATCCATCCGTGATGTTCACACAACGAAAAAAAACATCTACTTAGTCTTAGTGGAATCGCGGCATCAAAACAAGCAGAAACTCGCCATGGATCCCGCAATCTTCCCAACTCTTGCTATTTTCTAATGTTTTCGGAATAATAACCTTTTCTAAGAGGGAGTAAATTGCTTCAGAATTCGACATTTCGAATATTCACGGGGTCTGCGGATTCAATTTGAAGTTGGCGGTTTGTAATATATTCGTCAGTCAAATGAGAATCCATGCTTTTGTTTTTACTTTTTATCCGTATCTTAGCTCAGGTTTAAATGTAAATAATGATATAAAACTAAAGATGAATAATTTTAGATAACTTAGAATATATAAAAATATTTATGCTTTTAAATGAAAATATATGCATACCATGCATACTACAGATTCTCAACATGTGCAATTTTTCCATTCGTCCATCGATGGACGACTGGGTATCATCACATCGAGGGTAGATCGAGTCCATCGATGGGCAAATTCCATCAAAATTGTTGGGTTTCACGAATCTATGGGTAGTCTGACCGCACCTTTATCATCAATATTATTATCATTATTTTTGTTGTTTTTATTATTTTTATAACTCATTATTATTATTATTGCGTTTGAGATCATTACTATTATCATTATTATCATTATCAATATTACTATAATTATAATGATTAATGTTGCTATAATTTGCATGTTTATTGAAATGAAATGTTATTTTACTTTCTTTCGTAAACATTGTTATTAACATTGTTACGGCTATCATTATGACCAATTGTATCATTATTATCACAGTTGAAGTCATCTTTATCATTATCATCGTCCATCTGTATCTGCATTTATGTTCTGTATAGCTATTTGTTGATCTACCTGTCTGTATATTTACACACACACACACACACAAACACAAATACAAACACACGTACACACACACACACATACACAAACACGCACACACACACGCGCGCGCACGCACACATACACAATGAACGCAAACACACGCACAAACACACACACAGGTAGATAGATATTGATATCTGAAACACATGCGGTGAGTAGTATGATTTTGATGATAATGGTGACTGTTATAACGTTGATCATGAAAGTAGTTGCAACAGGAAGTGAGAACACTCAAAACAACAATAACAGCGACTGCTACAACAAGAGTAAAAGAAAAATAGCAATTGCGATGATGTGAATGTGAATAATGATATTAATGATAATGATAATAATGACAGTGATAATAACAAATCATAGTAATGATAGATAATAATAATGATAATAAAAGGCCGATAATAACGACGGTGACAACAACAAACATAGTGAAAGGAGCGATGACTGTGCAACAATCATGTTTTCTCTGACAACACCTCCCACGCCCTCACGCCCACAGCCATGGAGGTGTGTGAGCCGAGGATGCGTTCCTTCGTGGGCGTTCTCACTGCCTTGCCATGGGCGACCGGAACCATGGCGTGGGGGGGCGTGGCCTACCTGATCCGGGATTGGAGGACTCTGAACCTGGTCGTTTCGCTGCCCAATCTGGTGATTTTCCCGGCGCTCTAGTGAGTATGGCGATGCGCGCGTGTGGGTGTGGGTGGGTGTTTGTTTGTGTGTGTTTGCTTGTGTGTGTGTTTGTGTGTGTGGGTGTGGGTGTTTGTGTGTGGTGTGTGTGGGTTTTGTGTGTTGTGGGTGTTTGTGTGTTTGTGAGTGTGTGTGTGTTTGTGAGTGTGCGTGTGTGTGTGTTTGTGAGTGCGTGTGTGTGAGTGGGTGTTTGTGTGTGTGTGTGTTTGTTTGTGTGTGTGTGTGGGTGGGTGGTTGTGTGTGTGTGTTTGTGAGTGTGTGTGTGGGGTGTTGGTGTTTGTGTGCGTGGGTGTGTGGGTGTATGTTTGTGAGTGTGTGTGTTTGTGTGTGTGTGCATGTGTGTTTGTTTGTGTGTGTATTTGTGAGTGTGTGTGTGTGCGTGTGTGTTTGTTTGTATGTGTGTGGGTTTGTTTGCGTGTGTGTGTGTGGATGTACGCGCGCATTTGTATATTTGTGTATTTTTTGTTATTCCCCTTGTTATATGTTCTGTTTGTTTAATGTGAATCTTACATAGTCGCTAATCGTGTTTGAGAGTTTACAAAATTATTATTAATATTTTCTTATTTTTTCCCCTCTCTCTCCCTCCATCCCTTCCTCTCCACACTCTTTCTCTCCTCTCTTCCCCCCTTCATATCCCTCTCCTCACCCTCCCCTACCCTCCCCCCTCCGATCCCGATCCTCTCCCCTTCCCCTTCCCCCTACCCAATAACCTCCCCCCCTCCCCCTTCCCCTACCCTCCTCCAATTCCCTATCAAACCCCTCTTCCCCTCTCACATTCCCTCCCACCCTCCACCTCCCCCTACCCAAACACCCCTCCCCTTTCCCCCTCCGCCCCCCCAAACAAAAATCCTCCCTCGCCTTCCCCTCTACCCTCCTGCCTCCCCTTCCCCCTCCTCCCTCTCCCCTACCCACCACCCTCCTCCCTCTCCCTACCCCCCACCCCCCTACCCCTCCTCCTCTCCCTACCCACCACCCCTCCCCCTCCTCCTCTCCCTACCCACCCTCCTGCCTCCGCTTCCCCCAACCCAACCCCCTTCCCCTCCTCCCTCTCCCCAAACCCCACTCCCCACCCACCCTCCCCCTCCTCCTTCTCCCTACCCCCCACCCTCCCCTCCTCCCTCTCCCTACCCACCCGTCCTCCCTCTCCCTACCCACCCACCCTCCCCCTCCTCCCTCTCCCTACCCACCCCCCCTCCTCCCTCTCCCTACCCACCCCCCCTCCCCCTCCTCCCTCTCCCTACCCACCCTCTCCCCTCCCCCTCCCCTAGCCTGATGGACGAGTCGCCCCGCTGGCTGATCATCCGCGGGCAGCACGAGCGGGCGCTGGCGACGCTGGCGAAGGCGGCGAGGTGGAATGGGGCGACGCTGCCCCCCGAGGACGACCTCAGGGCGACCATGAGGGACATCCAGGCGGAGGTGAGGAAGGGGAGAAGGGGAGGGAGAGAGGGAGAGCGAAAGGGAGGGAGAGAGAGAGAGCGAAAGGGTATGGGAGCGAGAGAGAGAGAGAGAGAGAGAGAGAGAGAGAGAGAGAGAGAGAGAGAGAGAGAGAGAGAGAGAGAGAGAGAGAGAGAGAGAGAGAGAGAGAGTACGTGTCCATGTGTGTGTGTGTGTGTGTGTGTATGTGTGTGTGTGTGTGTGTGTGTGTGTGTGTGTGTGTGTGTGTGTGTTGTGTGTGTGTGTGTGTGTGTGTGTGTGTGTGTGTGTGAGTGAGAGAGAGAGAGAGAGAGAGAAAGAGAATGAAAGGGAGAAAGAATGGAAGAGAGATTGAGAGAATGAGAGATGAAAGGAAAAGCGAGGTAAATTATGAATAGATAAGAAAAGCAATCTGTGGAATACAAATGAAAAATGAATAAATGATAAAGTAGTAAATTGCATAAATAAGATTATGAATAAATAGAAAAAATAGCTGCTGATAATTGATTAAAAAGTGAAGATGGAGAAAAAATAAAACAATGAAGATAACGAATGAAACGCAGATATGAGGACGATGAATGAAATACGAAATGGAGAGGAAGGAATCTATTATCGTCACCGCCTGACATCTTCGTCATCGTCAATATCATCTTTGTTATCATTACTGTTATCGTTGATATTGGTACGATAAACTTAATTATTGTTATTGTTATTCCATCATCATAATTTCAGACAACGTCATCGGCTGAGAAGAAGGAAGTAAAAAACAAAAAAGAATCTGTGAGAAACTGGTTCAATTTTGCATTCATTCTGTGCAGGTAAGTGCACCCTTAAATTTCAAAACATAGAAAACGAAAATGAGAGAACTTGAGAATATATAAGAGGAACTATGTTAATAATGA